ATCTGTTGAATGCTTTAATTTCAGTGATGGACATCGGTGTAGTTTATGTCTCAGTGGAATCTTACCCTTTCTCTTGCTTATGCTTTTATCACTTAAATTGCATATGGTTGTTTGAAACTTGTGGTGGTTCTACAAAGACTTTTGTTGTACCTGGATATTGGTACTGCATTAAATATTGTAACTTAGTATAGCTTAATGTTATTGTGACATAGAGGTGCCATCTTCTCTATTTTTATTCATCTATAGCTCTCACTCATCTTAAGGATGGAAACAGACTCTTCCTCGATATTTTACTAAGCAACGACAACTATGACTCCGTAATGCTCAAGCCAACAGAAGCAGGAAATTTAACATAGCTGTGGATTTTAGCGTTGTCATTGAGCTCTTTTTTCTGTTCAGCATCTATAATGCAAGAAATCAATTTAGTAGATGATTATGCTAAATGTGTTCTTATTGCAGATATCAGATGAAAGTGCTCGAGCTACTTGCTCAATCAACTGACGCAAGGGAAAATGTTAATTGGTCCCAGCAAACAAATAAATTGTTAAAATGTCCATTTGTGGAAATTCATCCTCCCTCTGTTATTGATCTTTCTAAAGATACTGAATATGCATCTCAGGCTGCTCTTTTGGGAATTGAGGTCAGTAAACAATTTCTTTTTCCTGAGGTTAGAGTTGTAGATTTGATTTTCATTTGTTATAAATTAACCCATTTTCAGGGTTTGCCTGAATTAGGAGAAATTTATCCGCTCGGAGGGTCAGCAGACAGGCTTGGTCTGGTAGATCCTGCAACAGGAGAATGTCTTCCTGCTGCAATGCTTCCTTACTGTGGACGAACTTTGTTGGAAGGTCTTATTAGAGATCTTCAGGTGAGTTCTTGAAAACAAAAGGAAAAGAAAAATAGACAATGGGTTGTTTGGGTTTATATGGTTGAAGCTAAATGATCCATTCTTTCAAATAGTAAATCCTTATACTCCCACAGGCTAGAGAGTTCTTGTACTTCAAGTTGTATGGGAAACAGTGCATCACTCCTATTGCAATTATGACTAGTTCTGCGAAGAACAACCATGACCATATTACTTCTCTTTGTGAAAGGCTCAGATGGTTTGGGAGAGGATCATCGAGCTTCCGAATTTTCGAGCAGGTGTTAGTTTTATAATATTTCAAGGGATTCTTTATTTTTTCTATTTTTTTATTTTTTGCGCCGACCAAAATATTCTATCTTGTCACTTGACCATATGAACTTTCAAAGTCGACTTGCGGTCTCCTAAATGTATGCAAACTAAACACTTTGCTTTTTAATTTTGTGTTAAACAATCCTAAAATGAAATGAAAATTCATTGCTCAATTAGCAATGGAATGTGAATCAAATAGTAAAATTGACTGCGGGTTTTTGGAGCTTATGACAAGGCTAATAAAGTAAGAAATGATTTGTCGATTTCGAATGAGTGGCCTACTACTTGTAATTGTGCCACGAAGAAGGTGGGCTTCCTGTGTCCACGACAAAATCTTCGGCCATGTTTTTCCGATGATTTGGTACATTAACTGTCGATCTCAGGAGATGAAATTGGGAAGCTTGTAATATGGGTTTTCTAACAATTTAGACTTAATTTCCATAAGACCTTTCCTTGTTGGAAAAACCTGTCTTACAAGCTTCCCAATGAAATCGTTCAATTGGCAATCGCTGTTACATCTTTGGAAAACAATTGATGAAGTTTTTATTGTGCACACACGCACCAACTTTTTCATTGGCCAAACTTTGGATCACCACTCTTACCCACTATTCAATTCACAATTTTTTGTTTAACGAGTTAGTAATGTTGTGTCTTTTTATGTTTTTTCGGTGGCCAGAAAACTAAGAGGAGCCCAAATTGTCATTTTTTCTTACGTCATGAGTCAACTTTCAGAAGTTTATATGACGAAACTGAAATTTTTTGGGACATAAAATACATTTTTCCCTATTTTCGATGTTAAGTCCTGTGACGTTGGTTTTTTAGTGGTTACATCATTTTGTAATTTTGCTTGTCAATTGCTAGCCTGTTGTTCCAGCTGTTACAGCAGAAGAAGGAAGTTGGATTTTGGCCAAGCCTTTTCAACCTTTGTGTAAGCCTGGGGGTCATGGTGTGATATGGAAATTGGCCCACAATAGAGGAGTTTTCAATTGGTTTCAGAGTAATGCAAGAAAAGGAGCAACTGTCCGACAAATCAGGTAAATTTCCTACTTATGCATATTGTTTGTCTGAAGCGCCTATTGAAGCTGGACAATATATTGACTCTAGGCTTTATAGTAATGTTGTAGCTGCCACTGATTTAACTCTGCTAGCTTTGGCTGGAATTGGTCTGCGCCATGGAAAGGCAAGTACTTAATACATTCTTCTTGTTAACTGTCATAAGTGGCAATATCGAACTCTATTAGGATTTGTCGAAAGACACACTTCTGCAATGGAATTTCTCCAATTATATATTATCTGGAGCCCATTATCTATATTATGTTTAGGGCTGGTTGAAGTAATTAAATCATTCCTAACTGTATAACGAGTCACTTTGTAATGATTGAAATGGTTAATTTATGGTATACTGTCCAATAATTAATTATATCATGCTATTAATCTGCATCGTTCTTAATTATTGTTATCTTGTCTTTATTAATCAATAATTATATGTTGTATTGTCAAAGGCTGCATTACCATGTGATGTGAAAGATGGAAAGTATTTTATTCTGGGTCAACACTCAGCATCATGTGTTACATAAGACTTCTAACAGTTTTTGCGAAGTTACATATGTTACGAACCTTTATGCTTACATACTTCTGAAAGAGGCTCAATCACTATATTTCAGTCTTCTTTTTTTTTTTTTTTTTTTTTTTTTTTTTTT